CGTAACCATGGTTATGGACACACCTTCGTCACACCTCTTTATTGCTCCAATCAGAGCTTGCGTGTAGCTTTCCCAGAATGCCCCTGCAATCGTAAAGCCATTAGTTCATCTTCTCATCAAATTTTTTTGTGAAACGTAGTAGTTTGTTTCTCTCCTTTCGATAACCGTGGAAGTTCTATTTTGTATTCGAGATCTTGAGCTAGCCTTTCGTAGGGTGAAGTTTTTCTTACAAGTCTTTACGTCTGACTTTAACTCATTCAGAAGAGGTAAGTACAAAGTAATTCGCAGCTTGGTCAGCGTGGAGTCGTACGAAAATTATTCCTTTCGTTGCTCTGGTCAGTTAGCCTCTCTTCTTTTGTTTGTTATTGACGCGTATTGATACAGACTTTTAACGGCGATGAAAAAAATTGTTATGTAGATGATTTGCCTTTGATACTTATTTGTATGTTAATTCCTGGAACTGTCTTTTAATAATTGTTCCATGTTTTCGCTCTCTAGGGCTTTCAACAATTCAATAAGGAATAAAGTTATTGTGGAAACTGAGATAGCTGGTTTGAGGGGTGCTGTTGGGCAGTACAATGTAATACAAACGCTACTTTACAAGTCAGTGGTACCGATGAATAAATCAGCCCATATGGTGAAATGTCCACCACAGTTAGGAAAATTAACTCCAATTCGCATTACTATTATGGCAAGGTAGTCTTGAAGTAAATACCAGCACTGATTTGGTCCTTACTTGTTCAGTACTTTTCCATGCAGACCGTTTCTACTGAAACGATCATAACCCATGTATTTTTGTTTTGAAAGGTACTAAACTTAAAATTAAAAAGTTCAGTCCAAGTGCAAGATAATGAATCACTTGCTATAGGGGAATTCATCTGCTGTGATGACAGTTAAAATGAACAAGAGACAGTTGATTTCATTTTGATATTTTAAAAAAAATTTAAGGTGATGTGGTGGGCATGGCCCTCAGGGAGAGGGGAGAGGCATACTCCTTGTTGGAGTGGCCTCTCCCTCTGCAGTTGAAACATTTTTTATTTCTTTGAGAGAAAATTAAAAGAAAAAAACAATTAAAAATTGTGATAACTGAAGGCCCTTACAAGTAGATGATACCCAACTGACAACTATACTCGCAAGATCTAAATTTATAACCCTATTACCCTTAAATCCCTGTTTGTAATATCATAGATCTTTATCTTTCCTACAATGCCTGCATACTGCAGCTTTTGTTGGAATTGAAATAAAATAGTCTTCTTATATGTGTTATGTGTGTATTTATTGGAAACGGCTGCAATGGACCTTCAAGGGGTTTTTATTTTATCTATATTTAACTTCAGTTTCTTTTTCAACAGTCAAAAATAATCGTAAAATATTACCTTTCTTTTTCTCCTCTATTCAATATTTAAGAAATGCTCTTAATCCTCTATTCTAGAATTATTGAGAAATGGAATTTGCTTGAATACAAATAGGGATTTACACTGTTTAGAAGTATCATTCATGGCTGTAACTGAACAAACAATGTGTATTCACAGTTGTTAGCTCCCAATCTCTGTTGGACAGTAAGAAACAAACTTAGTTTGTTTGAAATGAAAACATCATACCATGGAGAGTGCTTGAACAATTTTATCCACTTGTTGCATTGATGAAGAAAACTCATTAGCTCACTGCACTCACCCATTTATTTATTTCTTTGTTAATGAAATTAAACTCATTTGTGCACACTTTCCATGGAATAATCTCTATTTGTTACTGATTGAAAAATATTTCTTGGGCCCCATATTGCTCTTAAAGTTCATTCCTTACTTCATGAGCATTACAAATTTAAGATTTTCTGAATTCTGTGGAAAATGACATTTAAAACAAATGTTAGCCAAGGTTATTGAAATGTCAGTTGACAATTTACTTTACCATTCCACTTCTTCCACCCCTTCGCTTTTCTATAATTTTTCTTGTCCACATCTCTTTTAAGAAAAACGAATCCTCCAAATTCAAGTGCACCAGTGGTTCATTCTTCAGAATGTCAGAGGTTATTCCAGTCAATAGAAACAAAGAAATTATTTCTTGCTTTCTTTAAGCTTCTCAATATTGGCAAGTAGTTTAGCATAGTTTTAAAAAAGAAACAACTTGGCAATGATTTTTGGTTGAGCATCAGAACAATCTTAAGCATATTCTCAGTGCTACTAAAGAATAAACTGCAGGGTTGTCAGTTGAATGATCAGTCAACTCTCTGATCCTGGGAGTGACAAGGTGGCATCATGATATAATGTAGTTGGCTGTTAGAGGAGACAAGCTGGAACAAATCTGAACATGGTGATTTTTTACTTGTCATGGACAGCACTATTTATAGTTTTGATTGAGACTTAAATAATCTATTATCACTAGGGTTTGGCGACTCGACCTTGGTCTTGATTTTGGTTTGAAAATCACAAATGAAAAATAAAAACAAACAAATGTACACTTCAAGGTTAGAGAGCATCACAGTCCCAATATTGTTTCGAATTTATTTCTTTGAATTTTTTTGTGTATTTTCATTTTCAGTAAATCAAACTAAGGGCAAAAGGATGCCCATTGCCAAATTTTCAACTCAGCAGAAGACAATTCTTGAACAGTTTAGGTTACTCTCTGTAATCCCAAAGGGCAGCAGCAAACACATTTACATGCTTTATATTCACACCACTACTTCTTAAAGGGCTGGCAGAAAAATAAAAAGTATTTGGTTGTTGAGTTCTAGACTTCTCTTTCCAGGCTACATTCGGAGTATCCCTTTGAATAGAGCTCTTGGGGTCTACCAGAAATATTACAGGAGATTATACACCACCATAATGTGCTCTAACAGCTGACATGCAGCTGATCTCTGGTGGCACTTTCATCACACCTTTATCACACTGTGATTATTTGATAAGCTGTCATTACAAACATTTTGACTTGCCCATCGATTTTTTTTCTGATCACTTGAGTTTTTTTTTTCTTGTTAGTTCGTGCACCAAACACCCCATTCTACACTTAATTTATTCATAAGTTGCAGCATACCGGAGGAAAAACAAAACAAAACAAGACAAACATTAAAAAAAGAATCTGAAGATGAATTCGTCCTGAAGAATTCATTTAAAGCAAATAGATGTGATCGCTATTTTATCGAAGGGAAAAAGCCTTTGCAAATCGGGAGTATTATGTAGTATGCTCTATGAAGTAAATTAGCAAACCAAACCTCACGCGCCTTTAATATTAGTCTTTCATTCTAGGTTTAACATAACTTTGAAATTGGGCAATTTTTTAGGGGTACGATCATTACCAGCAATGCTCAGAAAAAGAATTGCAGTTGTAGTTTTTCTTGAAAGCACTCTGGTTATTTTGGTTTTCTTTTCCTTCGTCAAATCAAAAGCACTTCAAGGAATCAAACATAAAACCCTAAGGAACATTCACCGAAGAGGCAACGATTACCAAATGTTCAGGGGCAAGTCCAGCATGAGTTGCTCGGAGCTGGATGGCAAAGGATATTCGGCGTTTGAGTAGCCAATCAGGGCGCACATTCATCTTTTTGTGCTATATTATCTCATTATTTTAATGCATACTGAAATAGCTATTCGCCTCAGCTCACTAAATATCCAGCACCACCCACTGACACCGACGTAAATAGTTGCTAATCATTCAACGTTTCTCAGCACTGAACATAATTATGGGAAACACATATTTCCAACCGCTAAGAAGCCTTTTGGTTGGGGGCTAGCTGAACTATCAAACAAAGTGACCTGCAACTGTAAACTCACACTTGTTTAATTGCTTGGATCGTAGCTCAACTTGTTAGGCTTAACTTGACAACTTAACTGTTCAGCTGGTAACTGTTCCCCAGCCTGCGAGGTGGTGTCTCAAGTGCTTTTAAAGTGACCGGGCTAGAACTGACAGGAGATTGACAGTCGTCATCAAACTATCAACTGTTCTTAATTTGTGCTTACGTAATGCCTTGCATAGTAGGTCGTAACCAAACTGCGCTGGTGCAAAGAGATGATCAGCATACGGACCTAAGATCAGATGCACATGGTCATAGCATTTTCCATGTTTAAGTTTTTGTTGTCCTTTGCGGGTTTCTTGGCCAAAATAATCCAACGTGAGCAATATAAAAATTATTAGATATAACTTTAACGAAATTCATTAACTGTAACATTAATACGTTTACAGAAACACAGTTTAACCCTTTCACTCCCAAGATCTCATCAGAAATTCTCCTTACTCTCAGTCCTTCAATGCTTAGGATGTTACTTTAGAGAATTTGATATTGGATCCCGTTATTGATATTTTTTCTTTAAACTCATTACTTGTCTGCTTAATATTGTATTGATATTGTAAGGAGAAATTTTGTCTTGGTCACTCATGGGAGTCAAAGGGCTAAATGTAAATGCAACAAGAGTAATCAATTTGTATTTGGAGAAGGGCCTACGGATGGTAGTGCCTACTTTCCATAAATTAACTGGAAACTAGTTAGTAATTCAGTCACACTGGTGGAATAACATTTTCTGAGCTGTGAAAAATAGCCACGAATATTATTAGCTGAAGAACATTGGTTTGGCATGGCTTCAGCACAAGTGGCAAAAAAAAAATAAAAACATTAGGTCATGGCGCTAAATCAGTGATTCTAAAATTTCCAGGAAAAAATAGCTTGTGAAAGACTAGTATTACGTCAAAACGGTGAAGACCGAAAATAATGACTCAGCTTCTTAGTTGAAAGCACCTCCAAGAAGGGAAGATTATACTATAAAAACAAATCAGTTTTAGCATATCTATGAATTCGAAGAAGGTAATTTCCGTTTGCGCTAAAACCATACCAGAAACTGATCCCCAAATTACTGCATTTAAATAAGTTATTCCACGCGTATATACCTAAAAGCCAATCTTGAATTCAAAGCACTTCGTGAGGTACAATACTTATACATTTGCGCGCTAACAATACTTATACATTTGCGCGCTAAAATAAACACGAGCAATCATTCAACTACTTGTTTGATATCAACAGTCACCTTATACAGCACCTGCCTATGAAAACGGTGTACGAGAATATTTTAAGTAAACTTAAACAACTTCAAAAACAAAATATCAATCCAATTAAATTATAATAAGCTAACTCAAATTAGTTCAACAGAGCCCGTGATCTTATTCTTTAACACTATGCAAAGTTTGGCTCCTCATTCTTGCTTTTGAACCCGCTGAGCTGCAACATCTGCGCGGAAGGAGAATCTTTCAAAGTTACCTATTATTTCTGACTGAAAAATGTTAACTAATATTTCCCTGCCCCGATCTAGGACGGTTCTCTTTCTGTATCGAACAGGACACCGAAACTAACCACACTCAAGACCTACAGTGGTTTCACAGGTCTCCTTACTGAAAATGTGACATCTCAAAACTACGCATGCTTCTTACAGAGACTTGAGTATAATTAAAAAGAGTTAGGCTCTTCACCCAAATTGGTAAATGAAATTCCATCAAGTCTATTACCGCAACTAAAGGGCTCTAAAAACAGATTACTTGGTGAGGGGGCCCCCTTCCCCCCTACTCCGCCGCCTGTGTAGTGTCCATATTTTTGAAACTCAAAACTCGTGTCTTACTTGTTCTTCAATTTAATACCAATATATTTGTTCATTTAAATCGTGTATATGGGCGCTATCAAGTCGATTTACAAATTCGATAAGTTACAACATATAAAGTCAAACCAGTGACTATGGTTTATTACGATTTGGGATACGGTGGGCGGATATAAAAAAGTTTCCGCCGACTAACATTTATTTTTCGCTACGCAAAGAGAGCCAGATTGTTTCCAAACTCCCAATTTTGATTCATTTCATGCTGTTTGAAATATAAGACAGTACCGTCTATCCCATTGAAAGGGTTTGTCATAACAAGACCCATTCCAATTACGGCCAATTACGATTCTAGATTGCATTCATCTTCTTCAAGCGGCAACCATCTCTGCATAGAAAAAGAACATCACCATTAAAAACTTCATGTATTTTGACAAATAAAGGAAATCATGATACAGTTTGTTTAAAAACTCTGACTGTCCTCTTTACTTCTTTCTTGTTTAATTAATTTTTTTCGGTTGGCTCAAGTACTTTTCGTGGAGCATAAACAGTAGCTAAGAAAGTCAACAATTGCCATCCACAATGTGTCTAAAGCTTCTAACAGACTACGTTGTGTTATCTTCTTGACGGAAGCATGATGTAAAGAATACAGTACAAATCCCAGTTATAACCGTATTAGAGATAGTCAGGTGAGTTTTCTGCGTTCGCCAACGCCAACTCCTTTGAAATCGCGGATTTAGTTCTGGAGGAAAGTCAAATAATGGCGGCCGCGAAATCTCGCACATATGATTTCTGTTGCTCGAAATAGATTGAAATTTGGCAGGGTTCGTGAGAGAGCCATATTGCGGCCGAAAATGCAAATGAATGGAGTGTGCAAAACTTGACGTCAAGAGGCACTTTAAGATTTTTAAGAACATTAAAGGAAAATATCAAAACAAGTTATATTTACATTGAGCGCCAACTAAACTGAATTAGTTCCATTTAACTCCAGAGTGACATCGTCCCCAATGAGAACAAATGGTGCCCAGTACTTTACTTCCCTGAACTCTCCAGACTCTCTCATACATTTCATGGCTTGGTTAAGAGCTTCACTGACCCTCCTTCCTTTAACTAGTTCTTTATAGAAATGTTTCATAAACTGGAAAGTAGCCTCGTCATCAATCCCCCAGAGGGACACCAAAACGGAACGAGCCCCAGCACCTAAGAATGCTCGAGCAATGCCAACTACCCCCTCAGCCTTTATTTGCCCATGAGCACTATGACAACAACTCAACACAACCAACCTTGCCCGCAGTTTAGCTTCTAACACATCTGTCATCGTCAACAAAAAGTCTTTCTCCTCACGATGAAGGGATTTCCCAGCTGGGTTTGGGGCCAAAATAATTTCTCCTGTTTCCATTCCGCCATGGGCGGCGATGTGCACCAAAGCAACCGTGGATAGTCGCTTTAAGACTTCTCCTTTAGTTGCCTTTTCTCCAACGAGAGGAACCGTTCCTAGGATTCTCCCAATCATCTCTACTTCTTTCTTTGCGTACGGCAGCTGACAAAACTTTCTTTCTTTATAGACAACTCCCTTTATGTTTGGATCTCCCACGAGAAGTACGCCTGTCTTCTTGTGGAAGTCAGCTGGACACTCAGTAATTAATTTCAAAATATTCAAGGATGGAAGCACTCTGATCCTTAGAGACTCACAAAGATGCTCCTGCTTTGGGTTCATCAATGCTGCATAGGGTACCAAACACAATGGACCTTCCGGAACAAGAATGAGGTTTTTTCCATGAACCAGGTCAGCAACAGGAGCAATGATAAGGTCAAAAAAGGTCTTTAAGCTCTCCTTTGCTGAAACAGGCCGAGAAACACTGACAGGGGCTCTTTCAGTCGTACACCCCGCCACACGCGATTCATCAAGCGAGCGATTTTCGATTTTGACGCCAGCACTTACACCAATCTCATGCAAGGCAGTACGGTTTAAAGTCGAAAGGAAAGTTCTCACGTCTCCTTCTGAAACATAGTCTCCTACCTCTCTTCTCCTCAAGGTGATTTCTTCATCTTTCCTTATGACCCAAAAGATGATTTCTTGTCTATTGAGAGCTATGAAAACTGTTGTCAAAGGAATGGATTTAAGAGAGGAACCAGTTGACTTTACTGAGAAATGAGAGTATACCTCTCGACACCCATAATTTTCTTCCATGAGATCTTTTAGAGCCTGCGCCCGTCCATCTTCAACAACACGCAAGGCCTCATCAACTTGACCTTGGCTTAAATGGAGAAGCCACAAACTAGTGTATACATTATTATACGTATCACGGTAGCTGATTTTCCAATCGTCTTTAAACTGGAGATGAGCCCTTATTTCATTCAACTTTGACAAACTGGAATTAAAGCAATCAAGAGCACTGGAAAACGATCCTCGATTTTCGAAGACGTTACCAAGATTATAAAGGGATAATGCAATCCCAACTTTGTCTCCCACTTCTTCTGCTATATGTAGATCACGCTCAAAGTATAGAGTTGCTTTATTTAAGTCTTCAAGCGTAGCATATGTAACGCCAAGATTTCCATAAGCACTTCCTTCTCCAGCTCTATCCCCCACTTCTTTTGCAAGTTGTAGACGTAGCTCATGGTACTCAATTGCCTTATGAAAATCGCCTAAGCTCTGGTGGGCATTGCCAAGATTTCCATAAGCCCGTCCTTCTCCAGCTTTATCCCTCACTTCTTTTGAAATGTGTAGATCGCGCTCATAGTACTCGATTGCCTTATTAAAATCGCCTAAGCTCTGGTAAGCATTGCCAAGATTTCCATAAGCCACTCCTTCTCCAGCATTATCCCCCACATCTTTTGTAATTTGTAGGTCACGCTCATGGTACTCGATTGCCTTATGAAAGTCGCCTAAGCTCTGATAGGCATTGCCAAGATGTCCATAAGCCTTTCCCTCTTCAGCTTTATCTCCCACCTCTTTTGCAATTTGTAGGTCACGCTCATGGTACTCGATTGCCCTATGAAAATCGCCTAAGCAATCATAAGCATTGCCAAGACTTCCATAAGCACCTCCTTCTCCTGCCTTATTCCCCACATCCTTTGCAATTTGTAGGTCACGCTCATGGTATTCGATTGCCATTTGAAAGTTGCCTAACCCCTGATAGACATCGCCAAGACTTCCATACGCCCGTCCTTCTCCAGCTTTATCCCCTACTTCTTTTGCAATTTGTAGGTCACGCTCATGGTACTCCATTGCCTTATGAAAATCACCTAAGCTCCGATAGGCATTACCAAGACTTCCATACGCCTTTCCTTCTTCAGCTTTATCCCCTACCTCTTTTGCAATTTGTAGGTCGCGCTCATGGTACTTGATTGCCTTATGAAAATCTCCCAAGTTCTGATAGACATCGCCGAGATTCCCATAGGCCCCTCCTTCTCCAGCTTTATCCCCTACATCTTTTGCAATCTGTAGGTCACGCTCATAGTACTCGATTGCCTTTTGAAAATCGCCTAAGCTCTGATAGGCATTGCCAAGATTTCCAAAAGCCTTTCCTTCTAGAGCCTTATCCCCCACTTCTTTTGCAACTTGTAGGTGACGCTCATGGTACTTGATTGCCTCATGAAAATTGCCTAACTCCCGGTAGGCAATGCCGAGATTTCCATAAGCCCCTCCTTCTCCAGCCTTATTCCCCACATCCTTTGCAATTTGTAGGTCACGTTCATGGTACTCGATTGCCTTATGAAAATCACCTAAGCTATTATAGGCAATGCCAAGATTTCCATAAGCATCTCCTTCTCCACCTTTATCTCCCACCTCTTTTGCAATTTGTAGGTCACGCTCATGGTACTCGATTGCCTTATGAAAATTGCCTAACCTCTGGTAGGCAATGCCAAGATTTCCATAAGCCACTCCTTCTCCAGCTTTATCCCCCAACTCTTTTGCAATTTGTAGGTCACGCTCATGGTACTCGATTGCCTTATGAGAATTGCCTAACCTCTGGTAGGCAATGCCGAGATTTACACAGGCCTGTCCTTCTATGGCTTTATCCTCCACTTCTTTGTCGTTAGGTTTCAACTTTTTGGTATTTTCCAAATTCCCACCTACCCTCGAATATGAAAAAAGAAAATTAGATTTCGCGGAAAATAGAAATAATATAGCGATCATAAATGCATGAAAAGTTCCTTTCCTCATTCAAAATAGAGATTCTCATTTGCATTTAACTTTCCACTTTAGTCTTATTCAAAATATTCTTACAATTAACAATTGGTTTATACGTCAGCGTGCGTTCATCAAGATATGAAGCACGCGGGAAGTTTGGAGAGCACGACAGATGCGTAAGAGTTGCTCGAGGTGTAGCCGAGAGTAACTCTAGCTTCTTGAGTGCTCTACAAACTTCCCAAGTGCTTCACATCTCGATGAACGTACAGCTGACGTATGAACCAATTGTTTTATAACATTTTCAACCCGATGGAAATTTTTTTTTCTCGAGGGATTTTTTTGCCCAACGTCGTGAGCGTGCACAATAGGAATATGAAGCACGCTTGCGCAATTGAATTTGATAAGACAAATTTACTAGCTATGTTCTAATCAAATGTAAGGGACGTTTTTATATGGGAAATGGCTTAATTGATTGCAAACTTAAGAAATTTGTATGATGCTTGATGAATTGCACTGAAATTGACTCTGGATGAATTCTATGATTGCAGATGCTATTCCAGTCCTTGTCCTCGGTTTATTCCTAAGCTTCCGGAAAATAAAATAATCTCTTCGGGGTATCCTTCTTTCCAAGTTGTCTTAAGGCTGGTTTTTACTAGCAACAGAGTCGGAGTTTTAGTCCAAGTCATAAGAGCACTTCCGAGCGAGTGAAAACTGAAAATGGGGGTCATAGGCGGTGTCATAAGCTCAACGGAGTCGGAGTACAGAATCAGAGTCGGAAGAATTAGAGCAGTCTCGTTTTCTTCCGATTCCGGTGTGAACTCCGACGCTTATGATTAGTGAAGACTCGATTGTCCAAGTTGAAGGCAGAAGCGTAAGTTCAAACCAGTTTGATTTTAGCTTGATGGTATTGCTCCGCACTTTTCAATGACGACTCCGACTCCTTTTAAAATAAATACCAGCGTTTAAGTTATGCCGTATTATCGGCCGTCAAGTTGTCTACCTAAGAGATTGATATTGAAATGAAAAAATTGATATTAAAATCACCCGTCACAGTTGGAGGATCAGTCATAATAAATGTTTTCTTGCCCCCTCCACTTACATTCCACAGAACACCATAACCTAAACTAGCATATCCTAACATAGTTCTTAGTAGACCCGAGGGCCGCAAATAAGTTTAAAAGATGGAGGGAATAAGAAACAGTAGGCGGCCAATTCATCGTGGACGCCCAATTTAGTTTCCTGCGTGTTCTTGAAATACTGCATGAACCTCAATGCAACTTCTGAACAGGGAAGAGGTTTATTCATCTTATGCTCCATTCACATCAACAAAACATGTTCAGTTAAATTTTACTCTATCTAATTCGTTGCAAACGTATGTAAATAAAACAATAAATAAATAAACGAACCCAAATTTTAATTTCAATGAAAAGATGAGTATTTCTAATAGAAATAAGTTTAAAATGTAAAGCCCTCCCATTCCCATTTCTTTGATCCTACACACACGCTTTTCGAAGGATGATAGAGAATAATTTTTAAATTATATAAGGCTAAAAGCATTCGTTTAAATGTGTAAAACTAATCCATACTTTTAGTGTCCGTCGGCAATTTGTTCCGAGCGAGGATAGACCCATAATAAGGCAAATATTAAAAAAAAAAAAGTTTGACCGTTTCATCCCGCTGGTGGCCATAAGTTTTCTGCACTTCTTATTTTCAAATTACAGATTTATATCTCGGAAACCACAGATTTCTATCTCAGAAACTACAGATTTCCGTTTCGAAACCTACAGATTTCAATTTGATTTCGTTTCGCAAACTATAGCCCCCACTACGAAATAATAATGTTTATTTCTTATATTGCGCAGTCTAGCATGCGATAAAGATATCATACGAATCAGCAAGACATAAACCAACGGTTAAATGATGACATCAAAACAAATGAGGCAAGGCTGCTGCGGACGCCGCACGATAGCTCTGGAATGTTAGAAAAGAGGTACGTCCGAGCGATTAAAGTTTTGGTAAATTAGCCCTCACTTGTTTGTAATGTCTCTCCTAACAGCTTTTCGCGGTCTTTGGCAGAAGGGGATACTTAGATCTGCTTCATTGCTGCAGCTTTCTTTTGTAAATCGAACGGTTCTGTCCTTTTTTTCCCTGTGCCACCATCACTTTGCTGAATGCCTTCTTCTGCAAATAATTTTCCTCTCTCCCACTCTGAGGTTTCGAGAAATTTTCTTTCATTTTGAACACCACGGCACTTAATTGACCTCAACTCTTTAGGGTTACTTCCCATCTTCAGACTAAACTAACTTCAATCATTTTTACCTGACGTTTCCGAGAAAAAAGTTTTTAATATCTCCATAACACCCGTGTTATTTAGAAAAACGTAATTTCCAGTAAAAGTTATTAAATCAGGAAGGTATCATAATCTGGTACCTGGGCGAGTCCCTTGGGGGAATTTTCGCGATAACCACTAGTCTTGGGCCTCATTTTTCATGTTATTTGCATATTTTGCTTACCGTTAAAACTCTTGGCTTCTAGAAAAATCTTTGGAAATATCAAAAGCTGAAGAAATTTCTCGGTGAAAAAAAAAAAAAAAGATCAGGTCCGAGGAGGAAAGAAAGAGTACCATTCTGTCAAGAAAAGAGAAAAATGTTTGCTGTAAGCGGCTGCTACCGGCGAAGCTCCACGCTGGGTTTCAGATTTTGAACAAAGGAGTCGCGTCCAAACAAAATTTGGCATACATAAAGTTAAAAACGTGGGTTCCTATTATTCATGCAAGTATCGGCCTTGAAACAGAACATCAGCAATCGCCTGCAATCGTAATTTTGAAAGCTGCCTGTCGATTTGTTCTCTTGCTTTTCGGCACATTTTCCGGTTTTTCCATTTTAGCGCGGATTTTCCTTTGCCTTCGCCTTTGCCTTTGGCCCATTATTGTGCCGCCCTCTTCAACGCTCAACTGAGCGCTCGAGATGAAAAAAGCAAAACAAAGCAAAAAACGAAGAAACAAAGAAAAAACAATTTCCCCGGGAAATTTTGATCCATCGTCATCGACGTCAGGAGCTCCCGTTGTCCCATTCGTTTGCGGTTTCAGGAGGAGAGATATTCTCCTGGCGTGGCGCGAGATCAATATCTGCCTTTATGATCTAAAATCTCGAATTGGAGTTTGGGAGGAATACATCTACCTTGAGCGCATTTGTACGGTATTAAAATTTCACCGATTTTCGTCGAATTTCGCCGAACATTGCAGGAATAATGACAAACGAAAATGTGACGGAAATTTTTGATATTTAAATAATTTGTCCTGTGACGTCCTCTCAGGCAATACGCCTAGCATACTTTTAGCTACTCCAAGTTTAGATGCCGTTATCTAGAGAATCAATCAGAATATCAAAAAAAACCCGACACCGTTTTGTTGATTGATACCTTGTGAATATGTCTGTGCGGCCATTTGGTTCGGCGTCGATTAAATGAACCGGATCACGGATCATATAACGGATCGGATCACAGATCGGATCATGGACTGGATCACGTATCGGATCACGTACCAGATCACGTATCGGATAGTAAGTAAGTTTATTAAATCTCCCCCCAGTGGCTCTTCCGATTTAATTTACAATAATTGGAAATCGAATAAAACTACCTATAAAAGTTACAATAATATCATGATAAAGAAACAAATACAAATAAATAACTAACATATTCTTAAGATTTTATACCTAAAAAAGATTCCTAGGGACTCTAATATATTTCGCGCTTTACTGCACGCTTGAAAACTGAGAGTGTTGCACTATTTTTCGTTTCTTCACTTATAAGAGAATTCCAGGCAGTGATTGCTCTATAACTAAAAGACCTCTGTGCTGTGGCTGTCCTACAAAAGGGTACAACTAAGTTGTCTCTAGATCTAGTATTGTAGCCGTGGATAGCTGATCTTTTGTTGACGTAACACTCTAAATATGGTGGTGCAAGGCCATTGACTATTTTGCATAGCATCGTAACATCACGCACTAATAACTGGTTCTTAATAGAAGGCCAACACAGTGCCCGCAGCACTGGTGAGATGTGATCAAACTTCTTGCTGTTTGTCAACACACGGGCAGCAAAGTTTTGTACAAGTTGCAATTTGTTTATGTTGTGCGCAAACGTTCCAGACCAAACTGTCGAGCAATACGTTCACGTATACGTTCACGTATCGGATCACGGATCATGGATGGAATGACGGGTAACGGATCATAATTATTGAAAGCCCAAAATAAAGTCTGCGCAACATGATAGAGCGCAGGCCCCTTTGAGAGATTTTTTGCCCAAAAACCCCATGTAGTCACTTTTACCGCTATGTTGAGGAGTGTTGTGTTGTGCAGCCATGGACGAAGGAAAGTGAGAGGTACGTGTCATTTAATCTTTCAGTTAATATTAATGTTATTATTTTCATTTATTATCATCTCACGTGCTATTTTTCCTTTATTCAGTATCATTTAGCACACACGAGAGAAGAGGCGAAAAACGAGGTGAGGGGTAAAACTGTTTTTGATATGCCTACTGAAGTGCACCTGCATTTCCCTAAGATTTTTATACAATTATTGATTTATCCTGTAACTGTTTTTTCTCTTGGTATGCTAGAGATGCAGCTTTCTCACATATGCATACTGAGCAGAAAACGGCATTTGCTATGTAGTGTAAAGACCCTTTTCTGAGGTGGGGTGGGGGCAGGTAGTGCCATATATAATTGGCTATTCTTTCAATACTTACTACAATACACTATTTTAATTTTTTCTTTTTTCAGTATTGACTTGATTAAATTTTGTTTTGCAGGTTAAGGGTTGTAGCAGGGTAAGTCTTTTGCCTAACAGGCTGTATTCTTATGTTTTCTTTTTCTTGGTTGACAAAAGTTTCAGGCTGAGATAGATTTTAATTATGAACAGCCCCAAGAGCTTGGGTGATGACTCTTAACTAAAAGAAAGCAAAAAGTCGCCACCATGGGTTATGACCAGATGAACTATTCATTTTATGGG